AATCTGCTATAAACATTTGAGTACAACTCTTTGGGTGGACCTATGTTTGTATTTTTCTTGAGTAAAAGAAAAAATAGAACTGGCGGGGCGTTTGCTGTGCACAGATAGGGTTGGCTGCACAAGTTGCTCATATGTTTAAATGTGCAGAAGTGACCATGTGACTTTCACTCCCGCCAATGACATGCTTGAGCTCCAGTGGCTCCATTTCCTTGATGTTGTTTGGTGTGGTTGGTTTTTAACTTTTTTGCTCTTCTAATGGTTATGTACTGGTATCTTGCTGTGGCTTTTTTTGAATCACCCTAATGACAATCAGTCTTTCTCTGTGCTTACGAGTCATCTGCATATTTACTTTGATGACATATCTGTGAAAACATTTTGCTTTTCTGCCTGACTTCCTTCCCTGCATATAGTTATTTGAGATTCATCTCTGCCGTATGTGTCAGAAGTTCATTCCTTTTACTTGCTCAGTGGTATCAGATAGACTCAGTGTTTTATCCCTTCCCCTGCTGATGTGACTTTGGGTTGCCACCAGCTATGAGCTGTCACGTATAAAATGCCTGTTAATACTGGTGTATATGCATTTCCATGAATACATGCTTTCATTTCTCTTAAATACTTACACATGGAAAAGTTGGATTATATGGTATGTGGGTGTTCAGCTTTTCAAGAAACTGAAAACCTGTTATGCAAAGTGGTTGCACCGCTTCATATTCCCACCTGAAGTATATGGGGTTTTCGTTTGCTTTTTACTATATTATTCCTGAAATTCACATCTTATGTGAACATGTTAGAGACTGTCTCTTCCTCATATGTTTTTGAATACTGAAGATTTCCATGTTGACATTTCATCTGTGGACTAATGCCTTTAGAATGCAACCATTCTTGGGACAACTGAACATGGAAATGCATTTTTACTACAAATACAAAATTAGTGTTTGCTTCAGCCCTGGTCTGGTGTCAGAGCTGAGATGTGAGCCTCAGAGCTCCAGGGGGCACACCTGGCATCAGAGGCCCACACAGGAAAGGAGGGAATAAGAGATGGAGGGAGACAGCTGGATAGAATGCCAACCCCTGGCTCCAGCATTTGGCTGCGTGAGGTAATAAAGTCCACTTTTTGCCTTACAAAGGGTGTTACATGCCATCACTGCTCACAAGCTGCATGTTCTAGTTGAGGTCACAGTGCACAGACCACACGTCCTACAATGAAGGCTAAGGAGGAATACAGTGTGCTAGTCAGTGGTGACTTTCTACCATATCGGTCCCCCAGCTGGACACCTGTCCCCAGGGCCCAGCAGCAGATTGTGAAGGGCACCCACCAGGAGGCAGGGGCACGGAGACCCCCAGCTGGCACCCTGTTCCAGCAGCTCCCCTTGTCTCCTGTGTTTCTGCAGCCTGTCCTACAGGGGCCTCTACAGGAAGCACTGGTAAATGGATGGTGCTTAGGCATTAATATGTCTGCTTGTAAAATACTTGTGCAATTTTATAATTCTATGCCTCATTTACTCATGTTGACATCCTCACTTGGGCTTTGTCACCACTAATATGTTCTCACATGTTTCTTGAGTTTTGAAGTTGAAAGGCATTGTGTTAGACAGTTCACAAACTATGTTAAATGTTTGAAAGTTGTCCACAGATAAAAGATATGAAAACATTAAACCTTCCTCTTATTTTGAATGACCAAACTGGTTCAAATAAATCTTTGTCTACCTGGGGCAGTCTAGTTATCCCTGAAGAAAATCCCACTAACAAGTGGTCAGGCCAAGAACCTCTTACTGACCATGTGTCATCACGGTGTATGTACAAATGCGGACTAGAGATGTTGTAGGATTTGATGTGTAATTAGCCCCGAAGTTACCTTTGCTGATGCTTAGTCTGGACAAAAACAAAAACAAAAAGGTGCGTTCACCCTCAGCTTTCTGGTACCCAAGGACAGTCCTTTCCTCTAAGGCCCTCCTTTCCTTTCATGGCCACCAGAGCCCTGCGAAATGGATATCGTAGAATGCTGACAAGATCTGCCTTTTTGCAATCTGGAAACTCATGAAAGACAGCCTTTGGACTATTTTTTTCTCCTCTCAGGAAAGAATTTAGTCAGATGATGAACCATAAATGCATCGGTAGTCCATGGGTCACAGGGCCCTCAGCGTGATTTAATTTAATAAATATTCCACACAGAATCCATGTAGCTCAGATAATGTGAGCGATGAGACCTGGAGGGTAATTTTCAAGGTGACGGAACTTGCAGAGTGGGTGACCTTCAAGTCAGTGATGGAGAAACCACGGTTACAGAGGGATACCTGCGTCTACCGCCGTCCGGCCTGGCCAAGGCCATCGGACCAGATCAAATCTAATGAGACAGGAGGCTGGCTTTAAATTCGGTTCAAGGAGTACTGAGAGCCTCCCCTTAAGGCCGATCTAACCCTTCGATCCTGGAGTTTCAAATTTGTAAAGTGTTTTGCAGCTTATCAAACATGATCATCAAATTTCTCAGAGACACAAGTAGACTCAATATTTTCAAGAGTCCGTGGGGCTTAAAAACAGAAAACTTGCTCCCCCAAAAGTGGTGAACATCAGGTACAAGACTGCAAATGTGAGACTTCGTATTTCCGAAGACCTTAGAACAACGACTTTCTCAAGGTTACTGCCTAGAAAACACTTGGACTGATAGAGGTTGAATTTTTTCATTAATACATGAACCCTAGATAAAAGCCAGTATTCCTGGTAGCAACGCATTATCTTTCTCCTGGGACTAGAAACGTGGCTTTGTCTAGGAGTGCAGACAGCACCGTCCGTGAAGTACGGAGCCTCCTCCCTCTCTGAATATTCATGAACCCAGATGCCTAGGAAATGTCAGATTACGGATACTCTTGTGAAATTGCGTGGCGGAAACTGCTTCATATACAGTTTGGGGAAAACTAGTTCCAGGTGCGAGTCTCTGATTTTACTAAGTGTTCAGCTGCAGATCCATTTCCTTACTTAACACAGTCTTTATTAACACTGAAAGCTTGGGTGGGAATCTCAGTTTCTCTCACACAAATCTGCTTACGTGGCTCTATCAGCAGACCAAGACCCCTGTCACAGCATCACATCCTTTATAGCCTTCCCATTACGGACAACCGGCACAGGTTAACACCTACCCCCAGAAGTCATTCGCTTCCACAAATGTCTATTTTCTGCCCAAGTGGAATGGCGAATTATGAGACACCATTGGGTTGGATGTGCTGAGGGAGAGAAGAACTCACCTTCACCATAAAAGGCTTGATCTGGATAGCCAAGGGGGAGTGACGTGCAGTCCTACACACCTTAGCCCGCCCCTGCATGCTCATTCTTACAGTCAGTACCCCTGAAGTTTGCCTTGAGACCCCGGAACAGCTATCAAACTGCCAAGTGCCACCCAGCAGCCAAGTAGGGCTGTGGGATGCAGAATGCAGAGTCTGTGGGCATACCGTCTCAAGGCCTCCTGCTGCACTTGGAATAAAACCTCAGCCCTTCACCACAGCCTCAGCTGTGCGGCGCGGCTTCTGTCTGCTCCCCATCTCCCCTGGTCTGCTCTCTGCCGTCTCCTGCTCCAGCGCACGGCCTCTGTCAGCACACACAGATCCCAGGGCCCTGCCTGGACACTGTCGCGTGCTGGCCTCCTTGTCCCTGCACGTGCTCCCCGTGGTCCCCCCAAATCCTCCTGGAGCTCTCTCTTGTCTTCAGTGTCTCGGCCACATTCTCCTCCACCCTCCGCTGCAGGGCTCTCCCCAGACGCCTGGCTCTGGCCTCTCGGTCACTCTCTGGCATTTCTCCCTGACTAATTCCTTTTGTTTTTCTTCATAGTACTGACTATGCCCTGAAGTAGGAAACCTGGCTTAGTAACATGCTGCCCTTCCAGCAAAGCCCATTTAGCGTCTGGCTGTTGGGGACAGAATGCTGGTCCTGCTCAGAACAGGAGCTCTGCACCCCATGTGTTGTAGCTGCCTGGGTCTGAATTAGAGGCTCTGCCTTAAGTGGTGAGAGTTGCACAGTGTCTGGCTTAAACCACAGAAATCCTTGAAAGGAAAACGGGGGGACAGAGGTCGGTCACTGTGCAGTTGGAATCAAACACGTAGGTCCGGGGGGGAGCCGATCTACACGAGGCAGAGACAGGGCTGGGCATGCAGCTTAGGACCTGGACAGGAGGCGGGTACCATGCCTTGGCAACAATCAAGGAGAGGAGACGAGTATGTGGGATGGTTGGCAGAGTCCAGGACTAGCGGCCGAGCCACATGCTTGATGGATGTATTATTTCACTTCATTGGAAAATACTTGGGGGTAAGTGAGTCTTGGAGGGAGAGTTGTTAAGTTTTTATTCTCTTCAGTAAAACTGTTTGACACATGCCCACAGAGGCCGTGTGATCCACGACCCCCCCCCACCCCGCTGTGCACCCCCAGCCGTGGGAAATGCCGCGGTCACGCTCCACACTTCCACGTGCCTCGTGGAGTTCACACCCGCCCACAACCTGGGATTCGGGGATGAGGAGACGATGCGAACAAGGAACAAAATAAAGGTTTTTATTTGATCTGTTTTCTTTCTTCCTCTCTGTTTTAAGAGAATCTGATGAGCAGAGCTTCAGGGTGTTCTTCAGTTACGGTGACGGTTTCGTTTCCCCCAAGCAGCAGAGGGTAAAGCATCAGATGTGCAAGGACACTTGTTTTCCGAGTCCCAGTGGGCCCTGCGTCCTCCTGCCCACGTGTGCACCCCATCCAGTGGTCATGTCTTCTTGAGCGGCCTCTCGAAACTGCACAGTTAGCAGAAGGCTCTGTCCTCCATTTCCTGCTTGCCAGGACACCTGCCAGGTGAGCTTTGTGTGCAGAGCCCATAAGCTCTGGTCTATGGGACACACACAGTGTTTCTGGAACCTTCTTAAGGGTAGGAGGTTGAACGGTCAAAAACGCTGCATCCTTATCTCAACTTTGTCACTCACGTTTCACGATCTGGTAACACGGCCCGCTCCCCACTCCCGCCCACCCGCCCCGCCATGGGGATGTGTGGCTCACAACGATCAGCGTGTGTGTAAAGCACTTGGGAAAGAGTAAACAGTGATGGAAACACAGCGGGATTCAGAAGTTCCAGAACGGTCTGCGGGGTGGGCCCTACCAGAGCTTCCCAGAGGGCTTCAGAGAGCTGCAGCCATCAGCTAGGAAGCCTCCCCATATGCTGGCGCATCGCTTACACACATTAAATGTGGGCTATTTAACCCATTCCTAGGCCAGAAGTTGTTACTGTTTTCCTAACGGGTAGGGCCTTAGTTCATAATGCCAGGATGCAGTGATGGCATGTGCATGTGTTCCTTGACATCTGATTTGTTCTAATGAGGATGGTGGAAAATTAAAGTCCAGGCATTTGCAGTGACAGTAGGGGGCCGTGAGAGGGGAAATCTCCTACCTCTCTGGTGTTGTTCAAGAAGTGTGAGAGCCTTCAGCAGTCCGGAGCATTCAGAGCATCTTCCTGTCACGGTCATCACCGATGTGTCTGCTGTCCGAGCTCACGGTGCCCTTGAAGGGCGGCCCTGCTGCCTCCAAGTCAGCCTCGGGCGCTGGGCGCTTCACTGACTCGGGCACACCTCAAGCCCTCTCCTTGGGTACCCCGGACCACCACTGCCTCTCGGTCCTGCCACCCCCCAGGCCGCTGGGAAGGAAGAGGCCACTCACGTTGGCAGCAGTGTCTACACTGAGCCTGGGGAAGAGGGAACTCGTAGCTGATTATGAAGTTATACTTGCTCCTCCGTCTCACACATTTATTGAAGACTTTCCAAGGTGTCTGGGGTTTCCAAAGTTAAAAGACAGGGTCTCCGACATTAACAACCTGGCAGGTTTCAAATTCCTTCATGAAGCTGATCTAATGGGGTCCCTGAGTCGAGGCCACTCTCCATGGTGGGAGCCCAGCAATGCTACATATTCCTGCTTGACGGCAGAAAAAACTGAAGCTCAGAAAAGCAGTGTAACTCACATGCACTCAGTGGGTGGAAACGCCAGGAGTGCCCCAAGATCCAGTTTCAGGAGCTTTGCTACTACACTCTGACCTCGGGGCCCAGGGATTCCTTCTGAAAGGAACAGCTTCAGTTCAGGGGTCCTTCCCTAAAATGACCCCATAAAGGGTGTTACCCAGATTCACACCTTGGGAGCGTGATGCCAACTGGCTCACCATCTGGGAGGAAAATTCGTGAGCCACTGTGGCCCTGGGGTGGGGGGAGCCCACTCTTGGGGGGCAGGCAGATCACAACTCAAATACCAGCCCCTAGCACCCAGAGGTGACATTGATCCCTGTGTCCCTTGATTGCTGAGAAGTTCTGACCACCTGCTGGAAGGACCAGAAGACGGAGTGAGAGCCCACGTGACACACGTGGACGCGACATGCATGAAGATAGCCCGCGTGACGTGCGTGGGGTGACATAACCCACCTGAAATGCGTAGGCCACTGCCTGGCACGCAGCCCAGAAGATGGGCTCCAGAAGGGTTAATGCCCCCCCCCACAGACACGTTATCCAGCTTGTGTGGTTGCTAACAAATATCAACTGCGTACCCACTCTCTGGGAGCCCCTGCTGAGAAGTCGGGGTACAAACAGAAACAACATGGAATCCTGGCCTCAGGGGGCCCTCTGTACCTGGGCAGGAGGGGCCCTTCCTTGTCCCGAGCCGAGGGAGATAAAGGCTGGGCTGGGGCCTGGGGAGAACCTTCTCCACTGCTGCGGGCAGAGGGCAGGGGTCGGGGGCCCCATGCCCCAGGCGGGACGGTGGGCCTGTGTGGGCTGGATGCACCGTTCCCTCTCAGACCCACCCAAGGGGAAAGGTGCAAGGTGCTGGGAGCACCTGGCCCACACGCCGGGGGTGTCCTTCTCACCTGGGTGCACTCTGTCCTGCCTGTCCATTCCCCCCTGCTCCCAACACGGGATGCTGGTCCGTGTGCATGTGGAAGACAGAGGCAGAGACCCAGAATTAACAGCTGCCACACCGCGCTGGTCCAGAGCAGAGGCACTTCTACTGAAGAATTTCAAAGGCGGTCCAAAATAAATGTGAACACGTACATTCTGAGCGCCCCAAAGTACTTTCTCAGACCACTTGTCTCCTGAGGAAAATGTGCAGTTTCTGCTTCTGGCCAGGCTGGAACCTGTCCCAGAGTCCACCTCACCTTGCCAAAGCTTTGATCCTAAAGAAACATTTCAGCACTTCAAACGCAATCCCACAACAGGGCTTGTGGCAAACGCATTTCACATTCGTGATTGTTGGGATTCACAAAGACTCTCCCAAACTTAGCATGAGGCCTGTACCTCAGGCCCACTCCCATCTTCCCCAGGCCCTCCAGGCCCTCACAGGCCCCCGCAGGCCCCACAGGCCCCCATAGTGTCCCCCAGGCCGTGGCAGACCCCCACAGGCCCCCGCAGGCCCCACAGGCCCCCATAGTGTCCCCCAGGCCGTGGCAGACCCCCACAGACCCCCGCAGACCCCCTCAGGCCCCCGCAGACCCCCACAGGCCCCCTGCAGGCCCAGAAGCTGTTGCTTCAAATCAAACCTCCCTGTTCAACACGCTTCAAGGGCTCCTAAGATTCCCACTGTTGTGTAGACCATGTCCCTCTTAGACTGGAAGTGAAAAGGACCTGGCTCTGGCCTCAGGCGGCCAAGGCACATGGCACACCTTCAAACACACGCGTGACACCTGCGGGGCTTGGCTGTTACCTTCCCAAAGCTCGGAGCACACTTAAGGGTCACCCCAGGTCGGCGAGCGCCGTGTGTCGGGCTGTCTTCTTCTCCAGCAACAGCAAAGCCAGGGTAGGTGGGAGCCGAGCTCAGCTGCCACAGCGCCACCCAGGAGGGGCAGGAGGGAGCCTGCTGGTGCTCGGAAGGAGCGGCCAGCGTGCTAGGCCCACAGCTCCCTGGACTTCACAGGGGCTCAGTCGTTTGTGGTCTGTGTGACCATGGACTTCTTTTTCCATATTTTCACAGAGATGTTGAAGTTGTTCTAAAAGATTCTTCCTCGGAGCGCTGTACCCGTTTCCCTCCTCCAGTTACACATTCTCACCGCCAGCGAGCTCGGCTGTGTTTGAGCCCCGGAACACGGGGAGCGGCCTGCCTTGTCCTCTGCCCTCTTACGACTCTGGGAATGAAGGAGACGTATTCACTGTCTAGCACGCAGTGTGCTGAATTTCATTTAATATTTGTAACCACTTTACTTTGGTATCTGCTCCCCTGGCAAGGACGGAGCGTCGCCTCCCTGCGCGCAGCTGGCAAGGGCGGGCCTGGGCTGTGACTCCTGAGGTCTGGCCACTTCCAAAATCTCCATGTTATTTCTGCTTTTCGTCTTCCAGGTTTGTTCCTGTCATTCACTGTAAACTATCTGGGCCATACTAATATCGTTTGGATAGATGCTCAGAAAAGAAGATCAATCAGCCTCTTTGTCGTTGTTATGGGCACTGAGGCGTTAACGGTTTATTTTCTGTCCTGCTTTTCCTAAGCATTTGGTTTTCTTTTCTGGTTTTCCTAAGCGTTCAGTTGGCCGAGTTACTGTCCTTATTCCAGAGGCTGGGAATGAGAGGACAGCCAAGAGTCTGACCTGTTCTCCAGGAATTCATTCAAGTCATGCCAAACCTTTCTTTGACGTGGGCTTCCTTCCCAAAGACCCTAATTTGGAGTGGCTTGGTTTCATGACCCGTGACTGGGAGACTTTATTGCATAGAAACAAGCTACACAATCCCCCGGAGAAACACGAAAGCCGTCACCGGCCAAGGAGACCCAGGGATCCCACGGGTGAGGAAGGATCTGTAAGAGGTTATTTTTAGAGGAAAAAGAGGATTGTTGGAAGCAATAACGTTTCTTAGGTTAGGTTTGTCGTTCGGCCTCCCAGACGGCTTCTATAGGATGGGACTTAAGATCGAAGTTTGTTTTTTTCTCAATCTGACACACATAATCATTACAGAAAAAAATATATGTGGGCTAACAAACAAAATAAACATACATAATTCCGCCCACCCAGACATAATGACAAGAGACGTCTTGATATGGAAACTTCCAGCCCTTTTCTTCTCCACATATAATTTAATAGAAATGGAATCATAACCTATCTTTGAAACTTGCTCTTTTTCATTTAATATTATGAATACCGATTGATATCAATAGGAAATATTAATGACCCAATAATTAAAGATCTTACAGTATGACACTGCATGCTGTACCATAATTTACTTAACCTGTAGGCTTAGACAGTTTCCAATTTTTCTACTATAAATAATGACTCAATGAATGCCACACAAAAGCCTATATCAAGAGGGAAAATGATTATCTATAATCAACAGATTATTGCTATCTAATATTCCACATGTTTGGAAGTGGATTATTGGGTTAAAAGTATACAAAATCTTAAGGCTTTTGATAGATGTCCCCAAATTATTTTTCCAAAAACTGTGCTAACATACATAGCGGTGTTTGACTGTGTCCATTTCCCCAAGCCCACGGGTTGATAGAAATAAATGTCATTTCTGTGGCTTTAATATCCATTTATTTGATTAGCAAAAATGGTGCATAAATTCTACTATTCCTTCTGGCCATGTGTATTTCTTATTTTGTGACTTGCTAATCATTTTCTTTGGCCCGCTATTTTCCACCCTGGGATTTGTTGTCCACTTAGTGAATTGCACAGACACTTGTTACTTTAAACATAGTAATACGTTATATATTGCCAATACTTTTTCCCATTTGTCCTTTTTTGCCTTTTAATTTTTCTTAAATTGTTTCATGTAACAAACTGAAGTTTTATATTCCCTGGTAGTCAGATCTGTCTAAACTCCTTTGCTCGATTTTCCCTTAGTTTCAGGCTTAGACCATCCTGAGGACTTGAAATTAACTTTGAAAAAGTCCAATTTACGATACCTAAACTCTCTAAAAAACTCATTCAGTACGTGTGCTTCTGATGTGATACTGGGTCTCATACTGTGCTTCCAGGGACAACCAGTTTCTCACAGCTGTAGCCAAGGTGCTGTGCCATTAAATGTGAATAACAGCAACTTTCCCAGTTTTTCAGAAAAATTAATTTAATGGAATATCTTTCAATTCCAAGCTTTCCCATGGTTTTCCCAAGTTTTCAAAGATGTTTGATGCTGCTATATACCTGTTGCCTTTATTACTATCTAATAAAATCTGGTATCATATTATACATTCCATTTTTCTAAATTTAATATGTCCATATTAAGCGGTGGTGTGCAAACATCACTATTACTTCCAGATGTTTTACTAAAACTGACAACTTCGCGAATCTCGACTGTCTGGTCTGCATTTGCTACAGCGAAGAACCTCAAAGGGAAAGAACGTCCCCCACAGCAGAATTAGAAAACTGGAGACTAAGCGTGATGATTTGATAATTGCTGATCGTGTCTTACTTTCCTTAAAATATCATTTCTTGATCACTAATATCACTGACAAATGCACTCAATGACTATGATCGGCATACTCTTCTGAAATTGTAATTTTTCTGATGGGCCCCAATTATTTTCCTAAAGGAAAGATGCTTTTTTAACCACAAAAATTATTCTTCTTGACATTGGAAGTACAAATGGGACAAGGAAATGTGTTCCTTGCTTTTTAATGTTTCCGGAGGCGTCTTTACTGCTGGATGGGGTCCGTGAAGAACATATACAAAGGCACCTCTCAGCTGGGCTCACAAACAGAAGCTTTTACAATATGTACCCATAAAATACGTGCATTTCCTGAACTGGTGGCTGCTTTACTCCGCAGACCATTAAAAGCCCATTCGGAGGGCCTCTCACAAGCTCTTTTGCTCTACAGGTACTTTAAGCTGGTGAGCCCAGCACAGCAATAAACAAAATCAAACAAAAAGCTGGAGCAGCATCTAAAATTTACAGAGAAAAAAAGCTCTCTCCCCAAACCTAAATTTCCTCCAACACTAACGCCTTTATAAAGAACAGGTAATATGACAGAATTGCCCCACTTCCAACCTCCCAGCCAAAATCCAGCACCCCTCCTGCCCTCCAAGTATCAGTCATCAGCCCAGGCAAAGCAAATGAACTTTTAATCAATAACAGCTACTGTTTCTTGTACTAGGACTGTTTATGATTTAAAAGGGGGAAAATTAAACCAATCCTGATGTGAATGTTTTTGCTCTTGAAGAGAAAAAGCAACACCCTGTGTCCAAGGGGGGTGAGGGGGGGCATAATTTCACATGTTTTTAAAATACCTTAAAATAAAATAAGTGTGCGATTGTTTTTACCCCCATTAGCTATAGACAGAAGAGTAACTGCATGCGATGTTACGGACAGATGTCATGTTAGACTAACGCCTTCACGCCACGGCACTTCCTGTTTGTGTTCACACGCTGGTATGGATTAACGGAGCTGGAAGGGAATCAAGGGACGTGTGTCCAAGGGTGGCTGCCCCAGGAGCCCCGCACTGGAGCCGTCTGGGCGTGGGTGAGAGGACAAACTGGCTGGGGAGAGCCGCAGAGGGAATTCACACAGCAGAACGGTCTGAATCATGTTGGTGGGGGAAACCGATGGTACCTGACACCTAATATGTGGGACCTACAAAAGTGGGTCTGCTCTGGCTGAAGGTTTTTGCCCCTTTCCTGGTCCATATCCAAAAGGCAGCCCTTGCCTGGAATCTTCAGGATTTTGCTGACGAGTTTCGCCGACCTCAGTACCGAACACCCTCAAGACCCCCTGGGTGGTTCTCCCCGGTGTGTTCCCCCTATTCCTCTAGGCCACGTCTGTGCAGGTCCGACCAGATGCCCTAAATCCTAATGACCTGTTGGTCAGGTCTTCCTGCATCTTGAGTTTCCCTCCAGCCAGAGAGAAATCACACTGGACTCTTTATGAAATCTACCGCATTATTTCGGCATGTTTGCACAAACCAAAAGCAACTTCCCTGAAGATTACTGAAATGCAATCATCTTTTACCCATTTGGGAAATGCTACACAGCCTCTTGCCCAATTTTAAAGAGTAATAAGAGGGGAAAGGGGGAGGGAGTTCAAGAGAATGGTGAGGGGAGAGATTTCTTGACTGTTTTCTTTTACAGTTTGCTGAAATGGAATAAATCAATCCTGTCCTGTTTATTTATAAAACCTTAACACCAATGGAGTGGGGGAATTAATGAGACCAGACACAAAGAATGTGGAAATTCTCATTTCTAAAACTGCTGGCATGCAGACACACATTCATGTCTCATAGCTTTTCAAGGGTGCTGAAGAAATGTGCTTGCTGCCTCTCAGGACTTTTGGTGAAGAACATGCATTTGCACATAATTACTCTCACCAATGTAACTGGCCGCCAAAGGACAGACCCAGCAAAGACCCCCCATATTTTTGAAGAACCAGGATATCGTGCCCAGATGCCTCACATGTGCCCATAGGACCAGTTATAACTGTTGGCCCTTAGAAAATAATGGCCCTGGGGTCAGTAACAAAAAGATGCTGCCGACTTACAGGGTGCATTTCACCTAACCACCTCTGTGAAGTCGGTATTCTCCGCACATCACAGGTGAGGGACGCAGGGTCCAAAGAACCAGGTGACCTGTTCAAACAGGCAGAACTCACAGACGTGGCCTGGCGAAAGAGCCGCACTCCGCCTGTGCCGTCGTGCAAGCGCACCACTCCACCCCCAGCGCCTGTGCCGCTGCTTCCCTGGCCGTCTAACGGGGGTAAAACGGCCACAGCCTGGAGGAAAGAGCCAGGACTTGTGTATCAAGTTCTCTTTCACCATATTCTATGACCACCAGGTATTATGTCTTTCTCTATGTTTTCCATTTTTAGTTACAATTTGCCACATTTCATTAATTATATACCTGAAGTTTAAAAGGGAAGATTTGGTTGATCAAATCTTTGACCAGCAGTTCAGTTGATCCCGTAGGACCAACATATTATCTCCCTACATTTTCGATTTTCACTGAGAGTACAGGGAGATAAGACCCCCAGGGTTCCTAATGCTCTATCAGGAATCCTCCGTGCTGGTTCCGACATCTCAGTATCTGTGTGGGCCCGAGCATTGATTGCTTCTGGCCCAGCCAAAGATTCCAAGTGTGCTGAGAGAACGGATTCTCTGCCATGGACGTGCCGTTCTGTGTTAACAGCACACACTTAAATTATGTTTTACTCCAAAATAGAGTGTATGGAGGGTAGTTTTGTTTGCTTGGCAGGTTCATTGGTTGACTGGGGAGAGAAGAAAACCCATACTTCCTCTAGAGCATTCTTTTACTGAAACTCTCTGGGTGCTAATGACGGACCAGCCTGGCGTGGGACAGGGGGCATGAGGGTCCAGCCTCCGTGCTGCAGGCCTTTTGGATACACAAATTTTTTGCTGCAATTCATTATTTTTCTTGGATCCGATCTCAGGA